GTGGAGGCGGCACGTGAGCACGCGGTGCCGGCGCCTCACCGGCCGCACGTGGGCAGGTTGACCATGAAGAAGACGTTGAGCTCGATGAGCGAGGCCAGCACGAGGAACATGCCGTACATGAGCAGGCACGCCTGCCCAACCTTGCGGTTGAGCTTGAACTTGTTGAGCGAGAAGGTGGCGTAGAGCAGGAAGAGCGTCGAGAGCAGCGAGATGGCGCTGTATTCAAGGCCACGCGAGTTGATGCCCACGAAGTGCTGGCCCGCCGTGGTGGGGAGGAACGATGCCTTGATCAGCCACGGCAGACCCAGGCACAACAGGATGTCGAACGTGTTCGAGCCGATTGAGTTGCTGATGCCCATCGACCCGTGTCCTGCAAGCGTGCGCCAACACGTTAGTTAGAGGAAGTAGTTGGATGAAGAAAACTCTTGTCGAAAAGGGGCTCGCCACACATTAAAACATGAGCAACAAACGAGCGTATATTTACGTTACACAAACAAGTGTTAAACCATCAGTGTAAAAAATGAGCTTCTGTACTGCATCCTCAAAAGCATTAAATAGGAAAGTAGGGCCATGCATAAATCCTTGTGAAACACCAGTTCCTCATTTAATAAAAGCAAGGAATGACAGTTCAAAAGTTGAAATTGAGGATTCAGCTGAACTGTTTCATTTCCTAATTCATAATGTTAGAATAAACTTACTGTGCGTAAGGTATCTCAGGTAGGATAAACAAGTAAGAAAGAATTGACAAAATAGTGAGCATGATTCGAATAATGGCCTACAAACAAGAGGAGGAATATTTTTGTTTGCGGTAAGCAGAAGAGAGACTCGCTTGTCGGTAGACATCCCTTGAGGGGCAGTGGTGTATTCTTGAGAGGTATAATGTATTTTAGAAATTTGTGAAATGAAATGAAATATAATGAACGTCATAATCAATCAATGGAGAAGTAGTTGGCGAAGTTAGGAAGTGCAGATTGTGAATTTTGAAAACATTTATTGAATTAAGAAAATCTAGTGACCTGGAGCAGCAAACATTCAGTTGAAATAAACGCACAAAAAATGTTTTTCAAAATGTAGCATGCATACTACTCAAGAACAACAAGTGCACTACTGTAACGTATAACACTGAAACAAATGAAATATTTAAAAAAAACAGTTTTCTCGGAATCTGCGATAACGTAGTGTAGAACATACTCTATAAACTGTTCTGTACTTACCAAGAATATAAAAAAAGGTGCTGTTTCTTATCGCAAGCAATAAATTTAAAATATTTAGTGACGGTCGGCCACTTCCTTGGAGCCTTTCTTTCGCATGTCGGTGGCTGTGTTGCATTGACTATGATAATTCGTTCCATAAGCCCAGTGCGAGAATGGGAGGAGTAATGCTATCAATATTTTCATTTTTCAAAGTCGAATTGTTTCATTGTTTTTGTATTTTCCCCGTGTTCCTGGACATCTAACAAAACTTTAGATATCTCTAAAAAAGAACGGTGACTCGCTAGCTTTTTTTACATTTCTGTAGGCTTTGGAAAAATAAGTAATGTAGCTTTTGAAGATACGGCAGTAGTGGAAATGTTTTCTGCAAATATGTTTCGGGAAAGGAACGATCTGGAGGTCGGTATTGAACAAACCATCACAGGAAGTCCTCATCATAAAAGCATGGCGTCATAACCAATTTATAGGAATATTTATAATATTAGATGTTGAATCAAATAATGGGAAAAGATTGGTTATCATTTTCAGTTTGTTGAATGAGTTTCTAATTTTAATTGTTTGTGAGATAAAGTTGGTTGAATTAATGGTATACCCAAATTTAATATCAACCATTTTATCAGTTTTCAACCATTATATCACGTTTTCTCCATTAGGTTGTAATTGATAAGAGTCTCACTTAGTTAACAACAAATTTTGTAACATTATCATAAATTTTTCTCTTATCTTTTTAGTTTATTCTGCATATTAAAGAAATCCGATGATACATTTTTTTAAACTTCTTGACATTATTATCACTATTCTCTGTGCTTTTCATTTTCTCCTAAGTGAATTTGATCTTCCGTTGACAAATCCGTTTAGTAATTATTATAAAAACATTATTATAAATTATAAATTTGTAATAACTCATCACACCAGGATGAATTATCTAAAATGTGTAAAAAATGAGTACTTGTAAATAAATAAATAAATGTGAAAAAATTGCCACAAATATAAATATTGACGACGTGAGAGAGAAGAAAAAAAATTTAATTATTGTAATTTTTGAAAAATCAAAAGCATAGAGCATTGGGACATCTTGTCGAGTACATTTAGCACTAACCCTACCAAAAGTTTTTGACCGTTTTCGAGAAAATCATTTTTTAATTTTTTTAAATTCCACATATTGCGCGGAAAACACTCAAATTTTCACAAAAAATAGCTTGACTATAATGAAAGAAATGTATGTGAAAAACACATTTTATTTGAAGGAAAAATCTCTATCTCCAATTTTACAGTTGTAGGAAGACGCTGGAAAAAAAAACTTTTGAAATTTTCGAGAATTCAGAGTTAACCTAAACCGACCTACGCCATCTTTATAAATGTATTTTACTCTATTGTTTCAAAACTTTTAAAGAAAAAAATTGGAGCCATTTTTGGGGAAATTTTGAACATGATGCAGGGGATTCATTTAAAGTACGCCCAAATTTAAGGAATATTTGTCAAAATCGCAAAGTTTCGACTCGAGTCAGATGGACGGATGCTTCTGCAAATTGGAAAAAATCCTACGCATTGTTTAGGCGCTAGTGGTTTTGAAAAAAACACCACTTTTTCGGTGTCAGGGGACCTCAAACCATATATTTTTGTTGAAATATCGAAGTAGATTTTCTGAAGTATTGCATAACTTTCTCTACACTACGTACATTACTCCGTATATACGTAGGTACGTAGGCCTACGTATATGAGATAGTAAAATTTCGTGTTATCGATCTTTGTGTTATCCACATTTGCCTATATATTGACATCCAAATTTTCAACAGCGGATCGATAAGAAGTACATGCAAAGAGAAGAAGAAGAAGAAGAAGAAAATACAAAATACTATCAAAAAGTATTGTCGATACAAATACAAAATACTTGTTCAAATATGTATATTAGATATAAAAACAAAACACACAAAAGTATCGAAATATATGTTTTAAATATATGTATTTTCGATACTGCCCAAATCTGGCTATGAACCACGGAGCGGAAATCTACGGAATGGAGAAAATAGATCGATTAAAAAGCATAGAAACGCATTATTACAAATTAATTCTCAAAGTGTCTAGGTTCGAAACAAATATTCCGTCTGAATAGAGGACAGAATTGTAAGATTTTGCAAAGTTTTTAAAGTTAATCTCATTAAGGTTTGAATTAGATTAGAGAGGTCAAACGCTTATTCAAAGGTGCTTCAAAGGTGAAGTTATAGTTAAGCGATCAGCCTTAGAATGTTAAACTCTTACTGGAACGCGAAGATCTGGGAATCTTTTCTGTGGAGATGGTTGTGATAGAAAAATGAGATAGAATGGTTAAATGCTGATAGATTTTCGGTTATAAAAAAGTAAGATGTTCTGGCAGCAACTGCCAAATTATGCTCAATAGTGACACAAATTCACACTAGTATGGGATTGTGAATGGTAAGTTCACACACTTGGAAGGGAGGCAAGAGGGAGTTACGGGTGGTTTAAGTTCGGGGGATCAAATGCAAATAATTTGAAAGATTCAAATAGCAATTGCACCTGTGTGCTTAGCGGTGATATTAAAGATTGGATGCACATCCTTTTAAATTATTTTGCTACCGAAACATGGGAAGGAAAATGTATGGGAATAAAGAACTATTATTTCCAGCATTGAAACGTAACGCCAACCTAAATCGTATTACGTGATGATAGGCCTCACTTCATGGAAGAATTAGAACAATTTCTAGGACTATTAAAACTATTTGGACTATTAGGTAAACGTTAATTAGGGAGTGGGGGATTTAACACTGATTAGTACTACGAGAGAGTCTACATATAAGAGGAAATAAATTAGTGAACAATGAATAAGTTAATCAGTAATTTAGTTAGTAAGTACTTAGGTAATTACGTTAGTAAGTTTACAAGTAAGTTATTAAATTGTAAGTAAATACGTACGTAAATCAATAATCAAAAAAGGAAACGATCAAATAATTAAATGAGTACATTAGGAGGATAATGGGAGTGGATGGCCGAGAAGTAAGAGCAGAGGTGAGGTGCAGACGACCTTCTGAGACCCTGTTCCATTTCAAGTGCTGAAAACGCCAAAGACTGGAAGGAGAATACATGATGTCCGCACCAAATACGTAGTTTAGAAAGAGTTGGGTAGAGTAGTATGTACTTGGCTTTTGACGGCAGGTTTTTGCATCTTCAGAGCATTTTTCCTTAGCCGTCCTATACAGTCTCTTTTCCGCGACTTTGATGTGATGAGGAAACCATCTGGGATGAATACCAGGATTAGAAAAGTTAGATTGCTTTAGAATGTAACCACGAATTATCAATCAATTACTTTCTTAGTAAAAACCCAGTTTCTATATTTTTAAACGAAGAAATAGCCTTTGATAAGATATTGCATATTGAACGTTTATATAAATAGAAGCAATTAGGAACCATTCCATATTGTTATCAAATCAAGGTTTGATATCATCAAAGATTCATTGAAGATTTCGTGAAAACAGAAAATTATGCTTCAAAATTATATCTATTCTTTCTATTCAATATTTCATCAATGCTGGCGTCTTACATGGTTCCTGTTTATCGCCCTTTTAAAAATATATTTATTTAACTAATATTTCGTCTCAAAATGATTCTGAAATTGCTTTATTTGCAGATGACACAGCTCTCTTCACAGTTCACTCAGATATTTTATGTGCATATAACTATCTACAAAATGATTTAATATTATACACTCAATGGTCTGATCAATGGAGAATTAAAATGAACTTGAAAAAATCACAAGCAAAAATATTTTCTTTACTAAAATCCACATTCCCTCATCCACTCACCATACGTAATATTAACATTCTTTGGCTCTCAAAATATACTTAAATATTTGGGTGTTACTGTCAGTACAAAACTAAATTGGAAAGAATATATCAAAATTACAATACACAAAACCTACAATAAAATTTTCAAATTGTATCCTATTATAAATTCTAATTCTACTCTCAGTATTGAAAGTGGATTACTATTTTATTCATCTACGAGTAACAAAACCTGTAATTTAATATGCTAGTCCAGTTTGGTGTAATATAACCGCCACTGATTTAACAATATACATTTTTACGAAAAATTACCAAAGCCCTAAGTGTTATTCGTAAAGCTCAGTTATGAAGAGAATTTAAGTTTGAACCAATTAAAAATATTTATAAAAGCAAAATTCAATTTTTTACTATTCTTCCGAGTTCTTCCCGTTTTCCAAAATATCTTTTTAAATCTCCTTAAAGTGAAAAAGGACTTTGTACTAAATATCTAATAACACTTTGATTCTGTATTTGATACCTCCAAACTTCAAATAATTAAATTCCTAAATTAATTAATATCGTTAGACAAACAAATAAGTAATGTTCTGAGTGGTGGACTCAAAGAGTTATTTACTTTCCTATTGTTTTACTTCCTTGGAAAGAAGTACTTACCGAACAAGCGGAATAAAAAAGAAATAAAATAATGTGTATACGTATTGTAAAGCCCTTTGGCCGAGCCACTAGTCTCATGTGATGTAATTTATACGTATCATAATTACTGAAATAAACAACATGTTGCTCTCTAACACCATATTTTCAATGTATGATACTTTTTAGTGTTAGGTACGATAGAGTCTGTACGATTAATTGAATAAACTACATTCTGAAAAAGCTGATTTATAAAACTACCGTAATTTAATGACAATTTAATCAAATCTTTAGCATATCGCATTTCTACAGACATCTTTAAAGCACTATTCTGTCTGCAAATCTCAGCAAAATTTACTTTTGCCTTGACTAATTTTTAACTTTCAATAATATTATAATTACATGAGTGCAACAAAGTAGTTGTCAAATATAAAGAGCATTCTGAGAATTGCATGGCATCTCAGGAGACACGTGACAATGTTTTTGAATGTCTGCCACGTCACGTAAATTTGGAAAAGTTATAACGTATTTAATTTACTCATGAAGCCATCCTCACTTAAGGACTGTCATATATTATCCTCCTCAATTTTTCCTTATTTATCCTTGTCTCTCTTTTCTTTCCTCTTCTTTTCCCTTTCTTTCTATTTTCTTTTTCTCTCCCTTTGGTCCTTTCCTTTATACAACTTGGACCTTGGCCTTGTTCATAATCATTTAATCTTCGATAAACATTGAAATATTTTCTCCAAATTTGTTTTGTTATCGCAAAGGCAATTAAGGACCTTTTAGGTCAATGTGAAGGAACGAAAATGTATCATAAAATTTCAATTTCAACTTCTGAAACCTGTCTTCAAATCATTCCTTAATTAAATATTACTAGATCAATTCATTTCCTCACTAGTCTCGGGATACCCAATTCTAAGAGTTATTCAATAAAATTGATGCTCCCAAAAACGTTGGTTCTTTAATGAGAAGATATATTTTGCCGATGAGAATAAAAGGTATCACGTCAAAGAATTATGGAACATTTAGAAAATTGAAGAAATAAGATTGAATTTATTTATAAAAGGTAATATTATAGAAAACAATTCCAAAATAATCTTTCAGAGGAGGTACCCAGATATTGCCGAGCAACATGACAAAATCTTGTGACCAACATTTCTTAGAAAAGTAGTCAGAGACTTGTGTTTTTAAAATTGTAGTAAACAGTAAAAACAGTTTTTAAAAAAATGACAGTATAATTTACTGTTAAAGAAAAACAATAGTTTTCTTTATGAAAAGACAGATACAGTGATTTAAACGATTCTGACCAAAAGATCAGAAGGGAAAGTGAATGATTCTAGATAAAATGAAAATTCAAACCAACCTCGTTGTAAGCAGGGTTAACCGTTATATACCTAGCTAATTTAGATGACTGGTAGGGCAATTATCTATCCGTTCCATTATTGACTTCTTTTTAGAAGGTAGAGGGTGAATATTGAACCCTTGAATCCCTGATTATTTGGTCCCTACTGAACTCTAAAAAGTAAAATGAAAAGAAGGAATATCCAAGCCGTGCAGGAGACATTCGTAGTAGAACAAGGGGTGTCCAAAATTAAAACCCTTCTGTCGTAAGGAGGTCCGAAGATGATGTAACGAGTGAAGATTCAACGTATGAGACATCGAGAAGGCGTTTACATAAACGTTCTACTTGGGACAAAGACTTAGGTTGGATACCATGGAGGCGGACGAGACATACAGAAGAACGAAATCAACAACCAAATAAGAGATAGACAGATAGACGACTCGCTGAACGGACGAATGCTGGATGTTTCGAAAGATAAATTGGGTGTGGGAATATAGAAGAAAATTAAACGACTCTTGAGTACAGACCAGAGTTATATGTATTGATAATATATCAGTTGGAGTTGAAGGTCTAGGTGTAGACACAATGTTTGACATCTTGGAATACCAGCGAAAAGGTATGTCTTGAAATATAAACGAAAAGGTCTTTTGGTATTGTGTTTTTCTTTAGTTCTCAATTGTTGGATAAAGTTTCTTCATTGTTATTACTTCATTTCTTCTTGTTTCTTCATTGTATCTTCTTCATTTTTATCATTAATATTATCATTCTAAATAAATGTTTGTTTTTGATTTTGAAATTGGAAACGTTTTAAATTTAATAAACCAGTAAGTGGCCATAGTTAAAATTAACGCTGTACGCGGTTTACGCTGTACGCTTCAGCCTCTATTATAAAAATAAATAGACATTGTTTCATTTTTCTCTTCTTGAATCTAATTCATTAAATACAAAAATAAGAACCATCGCAATAACATCTTTTGATTCACAGCACCTTACAATCCGTAAGAAAAGCCAGATTATTTGTGCTCACAGTACCTAGGAAAATCACCAAAAATAACAGTACAGAGGAATATCCCAAATCAAATATGAATCGATTAAAATGTAAGAATCTAAACCTGCGTGATAAGAGATAAGTTTATCATAAGCAGGAGATGATTAATACCGTAAGGGGTCCATGACATAACTATGGGCATAGTTATTGAAATATTGAACATATTCATGAAAATAATTTAAAATTAAACTATACAATTATAATTTTAAATTGACCATAAAATATAAATATATAATAAAATAATATTAAAATTTCGTTTAAAAAGTGAATGGAGCGGGAAAGTAAGCTCCTTCGTGGGCTGCTATTGGGCGCTCACCCTGCTTGGCGACGATGACGCTGGACACGGCCTCCGGGACGCTGGTGCCGGCCGCCAGGAAGGTGATGCCCATCACCGAGTCAGGGATCCTCAGCGTGTCACCTGCGACGAGCAGACACAATTGAAACCTTTCTTGCTTGCTTTCTTTATTTCAAACATTCTATTAGTAAAATAATTACAGTATTTTGTCTAGTCTTTATCTCCTGGATATATTACCTTGAGTGTTAATATTCTTAAAAATACTTTTTTTAACATGAAGTAATGTAAAAGAAATTAAAAACTGCTAACTGGCCGTTTCCACTGCAGTAAAGTACAAAACATATGTTAGGCGTCGTTAGGGATAATTATTAACAAGCCATCCATTTAACAGACATGGACCCACTAAATGCAATTAATGTATCCACCGTACTCCATCATAAACTAGAAATTATATGACCGCGTCTATTTTACATTATTATTAGTAACGGTTAAAATAATATAATGCTAAGTGAAAAATATGCTCATTTGGACTCGACTGTTTTTTTTTTTTATCATGACATTTCATTTAAGGAACGCCTCGTTATACAACACATGCTTCAATGAGTGTTTTCAACTTGCGACATTATTTTCCTAGACTGGGGCTTGAACTGAAGTTAATTAAGAACTAGGGTAGACATTTATGCGTTTCCACATCCAAGAAAAATTGGTGTTTTGAAATTTTTAAAGTCAAAGGGCTTAATGCAAATCGGGCTTACGCCGTTTTTAAGTTTTACAGTTTACTCTATTCGAGCAAAAAAACCAAAGAAATAATATAAAGCATTTTTTTCGGAAGTGTTACTTTAGGAAAATGGTCACGATTCTCATAATTACGTGAAAAACACTCATATTAAAAAACATTCATGACAAAACTTAAAGATCTAGTTTTTAAGGATAGATTTCAATCAGAAAATTAGCCTGTTTGAATAATGTAGGGGTCGAAGAAAATTTCGCAACGTTTGAAATTTGCGAGGTGTAGGGCACCTATGATGGTGATCATCCAGGCGACGACGTAGGAGAGACTGCCGATCCACAGGATGCACATGACGAAGGTGAGTGGGAACCAGCGCTTGAAGCGGGGCTTCTCGCAGTCCGGGATGGTGACGAGGAAGACGAGGTGGATGGGCCACACCGCCACCCACAGCGCCTTGTGCCACACGCGCCGCTCCGACGGCCAGTGCACCAGCGACGCCCACGCCAGCACTGCGCACACCACCACGCGCGCGCGCGCCCTTCAGCCCCGCCGGCGTGCGCCTGCGGTCCTCAGGGCGGCTTTGCGAGCGCGCCAGGAGCGCCGCGCGGTTACAAAATATCATGGGAAAGATAAAAATTAGTTTACACACATTTTTTCGTTTTATGTAAAGAGATATTTATTTAATTACAGAAAAGTTTTAAGGTTAATTTCCATTTAAACAGTAAGCGTTTCAGCACCCAATTTACACAATTCGACTGCTTTTTTTTAATTTCTGGGTATATTTTTTGTTCTGAACAAATATATTCATTTCTTTTGTTAATAATAAACAATTTTTATGCTTCTAGAGTGTTTTTTTCTCGTGTAGAACAACTCGGACCACGCATGCATCCTGCTCCAGCACGAGCAAATACCATTATCTGGGGGGGAGGGGGAAGGATCAGCATTTAACTGAATCCCGATTTGTATCCCTTGAGAATATAGACGATTAAATAATGATGATGATGATGGATGGGATGATAGCGTGGGATGAAGGGACGGCACACACATATGGAAATACGCAAATACACACATACCCGAGACAAGACTCGAACTCGTGGGCTTCTGGTCCGAGACCGCTGTGGCACTATTGGCCCAACGATCCCGGCCATGATTGACCGTCATCCAAGAACTTTATAAGACAAAATATGATTAAAGTTGTCTTAAAAGATTGTTTTCGAACGTTTCCTCCCTGGTCATCATGTAAATAGATGATAGTGCTAACCTGAAGCAGAGTCCGCGTCGGAGCCATTGGGCTCGATTGGCACCTTCACCGTCCCGTTCTGCTGCTGCGGGGGCGTCTGCGCTTGTAGCGCCAGCTGCGCCTGCTGCGCCTGATGAGCTTGCTGCGCCTGCTGAGCTTGCTGCGCCTGCTGAGCTTGCTGCGCCTGCTGGGGCTGCTCCTGCGAGTCCTGCTGCTGCTGCTGCTTCTCCGCCTGTGGCGCCTGCTGCGCCTGCGAGTCCTGCAGCTGCTGCTCTTGCTGCGCCTGCTGCGCGGGCTGCGCCTGCGCGCCCGCGGCCAGCGCGCCGTCCGTCTGCAAGGGCAGCCTGATCTCCCCGGCCTCTGGCCGCGCCCGGCAACAGAAGCGCACATCAGCACGCGGCAGCACCACCGCGCGGACGCCCCGAGCCAGGCGCCCTCGCGGCATTTAACCCGCATCCCTCCCACGCGGTCAGAGAGCTTTTGCACGGCGTAAAGGGCTTGGTGCCTACTTGAAGCAATCCTTTTCTCCGATCTTAATGAAATTTTCTACACGTGACCACCAAAACGATAGAAAAGTAATTGTATCCCTACTTTGCAAAAGCACTTCCATCTTCCTTTCTATCCCCTTAAATCAAAGTTAAAGTATGCACTTTTTAACCTTGTGAGCACAATCGATTAAGTATAAATACCCATAATGTAAGGTGACAGTAAACAGAAGTATTTGTAGGCTGTGATGGAGGAGTGGGCTGATAATGCTTAATTTCCTTAATGACACATCCTATTGATTTGCATTTATTCAATTACAGGTGCCCACTAACAAGACGCTGCGTCAGGGAAATACAGGGTTAGCAATAAACTGCCGCCACATTTGGCAACAATTTCTCTGATCCCGGTAACGTGACTTGTAAGAGTAACTTGATTGCACTAGATAATTCTGATGATATAACTATATCATAACAAGTCAGCCAATCCATGCCCAGAGGCTTAGAAGGTTTATATAGAATGCAATGCAGAACCGCGCACTGTGCCAAAACTTTCTAATGTCTAGCCCAAAGAGATATAATGGAAATCTAATTATTTTGCGAACCTAACCCATCAACTTATCACGTTTCGTGTTGTCATCATATGAATTAAAGTAAATTTTTTTTCTATAAATTATAATGTTTCGAATACTAACGGTTCTTTAATCACGCCAAAAGCAATGTTTGTAGTTTCATATCAATAAACAAATAATTTATTCAGAGTATTAAATATCCGAAACTTTAGCCAAGCATCTACTTAAGCACTAAGCAGCTACCAATCCTCTCCCACAGTGGATCCCCTACAAGCCTGTTCTAAGGCCTTAACCATGAATGCCTCTATTTGTCTACTGAACAATGCAATTCACGTTTAAAATAAATTTTTCTATTTTTAACTTAAACGATTGAAAGCACTTTATTTACAATAAAATGTTTAATACATAGGTAAAGATACTTTACGTCTTAATATAATTTAAAAAGAAAACATTATTCGTCGAATTATATACAATGGAGATTGAAATATCATAGATAAAAATGAATAAAAGCTAAAATTAATGACAGAATTGTATGAAAATGTTTATATTTGCACAAACTTTATCAATTTTATTAAAATATAATGGTCTCATTTAGAATGTCCATTAATGTATGCAATTCGGTTATAATTTTGTTTTATTGCATTCGTACAAATTTGAAAACTTGCTCCTAACGACACTCGTTTTCAAAACTTGTAATTATGCAATAAAGCTTAATATTGCACAATGCACTATTAGAATAAGTAAAATTCCGCAATTCAAATTTTCACAGTTAATTTTTGATGTTTTGAAGGTTTTGAAGTATTGTCAAGTGTTCTATTCCGCAGATAACCGTCGACTACTCGGAAGCTCTGGTAGACATAGGGGAGAAGTAAAAATACGAGGGCTGTGTATTAAAATGGCGACCACACGAATGTTCAGGTTGGCAAACGGGGAAGTAAAAATACGGGGCGTGTATTTTAAGATGGCGGTCTAACGGATATTCAGGAAAGCATGTGGGAATACGGGGGTGTTTTAAGATGGGGACCACATGGATGTTCAGGTAGATATATGGGAGAAGTAAAAATACGAGGGGTGTGTTTTAAAATGGCGGCCAAACGGATATTCAGGAAGACATGTAGGGAGAGTATAAATACGGGAGTGTTTTAAGATGGGGACCACACGGATGTTCAAGTAGGCATATGGGAGAAATAAAAATGTGGGGTGTCTGGTTTAAGATGGCGACAAAAACGATATTCAGGAAGGCATGTGGGGAGAGTATAAATACAGGGGTGTTTTAGAGTGTTTTAAGATGGGGAGCACACGGATGTTCAGGTAGGCATATAGAAGAAATAAAAATACGGGGCGTGTGTTTTAAGATGGTGACCACACGGATGTTAAGGGAGGCATATTGGGATATAGAAATGAGGTGGGGTGCCGCTGCGCACTGCGCGCTCACCAGCAGGGATTTCCTGGTCGGCAGCGTCCTCCTCTTGGGCGCGGTCGCACATGCAGATACGGCCTCTTGCGCAGCGCTGGATCGACTTGTCCCAGTACATCACTGCGGGTAAGGCACAAGAACACGGTACAACAATAAATATCTCAGAACAGGGCTAAACAGTGCAGCTTAAAACATTTCAACATAATCTATATACGCAACATGAAAATATGATTAGAACACAGTTTGATTATAGCGTTTAAGTAGTTCAAAGTAAAATCTTAAGTATCAATCATTAATTTACATAAAGAATTATATACACAATTTTCATTAAGAAAATCTGGCTGACAATGATCGAATAACGATTAAGGATATTTGAGAACTTTCAATTTGAGACATTTGAATTATAATTGTAGAACAATATGTTTAAGTAGTTAAGTACATTACGTTCAAAACAAATTTCAATTTAGTTTATTCTGAATTTAAAATTATCTGACTGTCTTCCAAAAATAAGACAAATCAAAGATAATTTAAGTAATGAAATCATATCACTATCACAACAGAAAATGTTAAATCCTGTGACATGACATCTTCAAAACTCATTATACTACATTACACAAGATTTCAAATGGCCTAATGGTGTGAAAGCAGGAACAATGCGAGTCGGTGTGCGCGGAAGCAGTACCTGCGATGTAGACGATGTAGAGCAGCACGAGAGTGAGCGCCTCGTACCACTCGACGCGCTCGTCGTGGATGATGCAGATCATGAGCGCCACCGTCACCCCGTACGCCAGGCAGTCGCGCGTCAGCGGCCACCAGTCCAGCGGCACCACCTGCGCACGCGCGCAAAGCGCTCGACTTTGCTCTGCGCACAGACTGCGCACACCCAGCGAGAACACCATGTGCGCACACCTTACGTGAACACCACACGTGCATACCCTGCGTGTACCCTAGACGCACATCTTGCGCGCATACCATGCGTGCACACCAATTGCGCACACTGTCTCCTAATTTCAATGGATACTAGCAAAATATCCGGCGTTGCCCTTTTTTTCGTATTGAAGCCTTGTGAAAAAGAAAACGTGTCCGGGATTTTCTCAGTCTGTGTTCTCTATCTCTCTGTCTCTTTCTGTGTTTGTCTCTATGTCCATATCTATCTCTGTGGCTGTCTGGTTTTCTCTTTCTTTCTCTCTCTTTCTGTCTCTATGTTTCTCTCTCTCTCTCTCTCTGTCCCTACCTCTCTCATTCTGTCTCAGTCTGTCTCTGTCTCAGTCTCTCTCTAACAGACTCTGTCTATGTCTCTCTAAGTCTCTCTGTCTCTCACTGTTTGTCTCTCTATCTGTCTCTCTCTATTTGTCTCTCTCTTTGACTGTCTCTTGTCTCTGTCTCTCTGTGTCACTGTCTCTCTCTTACTCTCTTACTTACGCACGCCGTCTCTCTCTCTGACTCCGTCACTCTCTGCATCTCTCCGCCGCTCTCCTCTGTCTCTCTCTCTCTCTCTCTCTCTCTCTCTCTCTCTTCGTCTCTCTCTCCGTCTCCTTCTGTCCACCTCTTCTCTCTCTTTCTCTGTCTCTCGCGCGATTCTCCTGGACATCGCCCTGCGTCACAATGAATCCCAGATGGAGCGCGGTTTGAATGGAAATTGTATTAAAATGAAGCAAAATTTTGTTCTGCAGCACCATCTAGTAAAGTTACTACAAAATTAACAGCACATAAATATTTTGGGTGAACAAAACACGTAGAATTGGCTACTTTTATGAAAATCGCTTTGATGAAGATTGATCACACAGTGTCGTAGTTCACAATTCTGGTATATACTAACATCCATTTATACAAGTATATAAAGTATATATAAACATTCAATTCAGAGCGTCTTCACTGTGTACACCTCTTGCACATTGTAAATGGATATATGATCAATCAAGATCATACAAGTTCAATTGAAAAGTACTCGAATCATACAAAATATCCAACTACTCTGAAGCTCAAATATCCGTATTTCTTGTGCTTTAAGTACAGTATTCTCGAAGGATCTTTGACGACCAACAGTACAAAAACGGATACTTTGCCCTCTTGGCCAATTATGACAAATAGGTGAGGAAGACTTAAATAGTAAGCGGTGGATTGTGTTTGTATGATCGTTTGCGCCTGAGGTGATAAAGTAGCTACGATCCGAAGTAGAGACATCCAGAACCCGACATCGCATGCAGAAACACGGATGAGGATGATAGTGTATGAAAGTTTGTAAATCACTTAGTGTCATGATATCCTCAGTACGCATGTGTAATGTAAAGGACCCTCTTAGGGTTTCGTCAAAAGTAATTGCTTGCTGCGATATCAAGTTTGTTTTATTGTACATCAGATTGTTCAGTTCGCCGGCAGCAGTTTTGTTGTTTATCGTGACAATTGACAGCTGCTTTATAACAGGACTGTAATAATTTCACAGACTTCCGACACGTAAGAAAACAGTCTACAATGGCGGTCACATAAGATACAAGTAAATTATTTTAACAATACCAGGCACGAATACTGCAAAAACAATGTCATATATAAACACAGTGCAAGATTTCTTTATTTATCGACAATATAAAAGAAATTGCTGTTCATTAATGTAGCGCATGAGTAGCGAAATTTTAACGCCGGGCAGCCTATTTCTTGAATTCTTGCTGTCGCCTGACGCCTTTTGTGTCGTGGAGTGTGACACATACCTATGGGAATTCAATATGTAAAAAAAGGCGAAATAAATCACTTTTCTTAATGAAATATTTAATTAATTTTCTTTAATAAATATGTCCCTTGAAGAAGGTTTAAAATATTTCGTGTTTAATTTTCAAAAAATATTAATAGTTTTTATGTAATTTGGCGCAAAATACAGGCACTCCAATATTTTTCTTTAAATTTTTTTCATAGATAGAAGAAGGGATAATTACAAAAATGGCATGTCTCTCATATTCGTTGAACTCTCTGAATTTTCGAAAATTACAAATTTAGAAACAATGCGAGAAAGTATGTGCTGTTGTAGTACTAGTAGTTTTATTTTCCCCTAGTACCTGGATATGTAAAAAGCCTACGGACATCCCTCACAATGTGAGAGAGCATGTGCTGTTGTAGTACTACTAGTTGTATTTTCCCCTAGTACCCGGATATGTATAAAATACTACGGATATCCCTCACATGGTCGTAGGCTGTGTAGATTTCTTTTAATTTCCGTGTTTATTTTGGATTAGTAATAGTGTAGACAGAGGAGAGTAGCGGTCCGCGCGCGTCGCCGCCCTTCCGGCGTCCGAGGGCGTGTGCCGGCGCGGAGCGGCGCGGAGCGACGCGGAGCGGTGCGGAGCGGCCGCCCACGCCGGGATTCCTGGCGGGGCTGGTTGGAATTGGCGCCAGTTGGACGGCCCTAATAGCGCCGGGAGGCGGCGCGTTCGGCGAAGGTCAGACCACTCGAGGCGAAGCGCGGCGCGGCGCGGCGCGGCCAGCTGCGGCGGCGCGAGGGGCCCCGGCCAGCCAGCGCCAGCCGACGGGGCGACGCATTCCCTCTGAATTCTAGGAATGGCCAGCTTCTACAAACTCACTTTGTACCCATTGATTACAGCTGATCATGTCATTAGGCAAATAACGAATGTGATTAAAGTGAACTGATTATAAATGGCTGTCGCCTCAGTTTGCCAAGTCTGTTATTCTTGATATCGGCTGTGTGTCATTGATACTTTTCGTAATATAACCTTCTAATAACATTTTTTGAGGCTTTCATTGAACTATTTTTATCTAAAACTCATTAGTTTGGAGTTAACGGAATGCGGTGTGGTAAAATCATTTTCGTAATACTGAGCTGTTATACCAATGTAATGCAACCAAATAGAACAATGGCAAACCACAAAACAATGAGTATCTTCCTGAGCATTAGCGGGAAAAGGCAACTTACCTTTTATATTATTCTGCTATTTATCAATCTACATAAATGTTCTACTTCTCGAATTAAATTACAATATACGAATCCTAATAAGTCAAATTATATAACACACTTGCCCAATCTGGACTAATGCTGCTATCATAAATGCCAATAGTCCACAAATTATCCGAGATAAATACCTATGACTAATTTCCAATTCCTTCTCATTCTTTTCCAATAAATAACTCTGAATTAAATATTTGACTATTAATTAACCCACTAGCTCATATATCCAATAACTTCTTTCAAAACCAAAAAGTTCACATATTCCATAAAGTTCTTTCAAAGTCATGTGACCATTCCATCATGCCTGTGAAAACTAGCAAAAAACACGCACACGTAGGAATAAACGTGTCGGCTAAACACTAGCTCCCAATTTCTCGTATTATGTATATTCATTTGTATTGTATATTTGTATTAATTATATTGCGAATTATGAATTTCAACGCTCGTAATATTTCAGTTTTGCAGTGAAATTCCTTCTTCACGAAACTGCTTGAAATACAGAAAGCCATGTCTACTAAATAGATAAAAGATACAATAAAATACCTTATATTAATATACTTTTAACATTTTCACATACACTTTTTCACATTTCTTCAATGTTATGGTATTTTCTAGTTAAATTGAAATGAAACCGAAGGATAAAACCGTAGTTGCTAAAGGGAGAGTGATCCATCAGCCAGTACTTGAAGATTAATAGATTCGTTTATCACCAGATGGTAGGTAGTATTCGTATTTGTACATTCATCTTTCGAAAAGCCTTATTTTATTGCCTTATTTCGCGAAAGCAAGCAAAATTTGTTTGGCTATGGATTTGATATCTGCATATTCCACTTAGAGCTCAACGTACTTGACCACGATACAGAAAGTGCGATTTACTGCATATTGCTCTGGGAGTACACTAGAGTGTGTTATGACTAGTAATTTCGAACATAATTTTAATTGAGTTAAAAGCGACAAGTGTGTTGCGGGTTGCCTATATTCTTAGCACGAGTTTTCTTGTATCGACGATGCATCATCGACGACACGCGTGCATTCGTGCTTCACATACAATTTAAAATTATATACTTTTGATTATAATGCAAAAAGGTCATAACTCTGGAATGAACAACGTAAGAACTGGTCAAGATCACTGTTCTTTTCACGGTGTTCTCGATCATGTAAGCTTATATTAGTAAAACCTTTGCACCAACAACCATTAAAATCATCATCGAAAATTCAACTCATCATCGAATGAAATTATTCATTACATAAGTCTGTTTTCTTTGTTTTTATGGAACAATTGGCTAACTACAATAATTTTCGTACTAAACACGGCTGTATAATTCTCTTTTGAAAACAGATAAGAAAACGTTTTACTAACTGCAAAACAATGATTTGGTATCATCCCCACCGTATCACATGTTATATATATTCCAAAAATAAAAATATAGAACGAATAAACACATTAAAACAATGTAACAAGCACTAGGTAAAATAATACGCGCCATTTACGCCCGAATTTAACAAAATAAATCTTAGAGAAGCTCAAACTTACTCAAGCAAAGAGTTACATCGCGTTTCCGAATCTGCAGGATTCGTTCATATCAAACGAATTCAAAAAGAGTCGTGGATTCGTTTGTTATGAATAGAAAAAAGAGAAAACAACCATTGAGATTGAAACAGACATGAAAGCAAAACTTGAAAACAGACGAATCCTTTGGCAGAGAAGGAAAAACGTCACTCACAATGCCCGCGCCGATGCCGCAGCAGGCGGCCACGGCGAGGATGTTGAAGACGGCGCTGCCGACGATGGTCCCGACGCCGATGTCGCCCTCGGTGATGAAGGTGCCGATGACGTTGACGAAGAGCTCGGGCGCCGACGTGGCCGCCGCCATGAACGTGGCGCCCGCCACGTCGTTGGACATGTTGAGCGCTGCGCACACAACCCACACGGTACACTCGCCTTCCCCTTTCCACATTCTCACATTATCCAATTTTTTGGAGAGAGAGACAGACTGGCAGAGAGAGAGGAGGGTAAGAGAGGAAGGGAGAAAAATATCAGTTAATTTTGAGTCGCCATAGTAGTAATGTACAGCATTATACAAGAAGATAAAGAGATACTTTGCCACCGAGGGAAAGGTATTTCCACACTAGCGACGATAGGAGTAAGCGAGGTATCTTCCTGCAGTAGATAATATATTTTATTGCCATGTGTAATATTGAATTTTATTTTTATTTCAATTTATTCTCATTTTTTTTAAATGTTAGGTTAGGGCAGTACAAGTACTTTGCAATGCCGTCGCTACTGCTCGGAGCGTCTAAAAGACGACAAACTAGTTATGCAATAAATAACATTATATATTTCTTGAATTAAGGGTACACTTACTTAATATTATAATATTGCAGTTTCTACCCTACTAACACTTGAGTCATTAAGTGAAAAAGTCCAAACAATTTAAAAAAAGTGCCTTCGGTATGAAACTGCAATTATTTCTACAGGAAGAAACTGTTTTAATTTCTTGAAAGTGTAGGCTTTCGCGATCAGATATCTACCTATCTGTCTGGAAGACGCCGCAAAAAGCCCAGAGGAAGGTCGCAGTATGACAGAGCAAATGTTGTCATCCTAGGTGACGGTGTCTTCCGAACAGCCACGTATTGTAGATTCGTAGCAATTTCTAATTTCTTTAGAAGCAAGAAATGAGTTCTGTGAATGCTCCCGGCTAACGGATGACGACTCGTTGAAGACGCCGATGTTTCGACTATAATGTCGACCAATGCCGCCGAAGTTTTGACTATAATTTCGTGGTCTTCTTCAGAGTTTGAATGTCCACCACTTTGCAATTACTCGTCTGCACGGAGGCTCTAACGATGCACACGGTCAGAAAGACATTTTGTCGAAATCTAATGTTTTTTAATCAAAGAAAGTTAAGCGTGCATTCTGACTACATATAGTATCAAGATTTATCTACTTTATCGGCATCAATGCCTCACAATACAAATTTTTCGGGCGCTTTATTGCTAGTTTTTGCTGCAGAATTACAATTCATCCTATATTTTTCGTAAGTACTATGCGAGAAAGCAAAAAATATTACCTGCATGTGATAAAAAGGTACAATAACAGCATATTATTAGCCAATAAGAAGGGCCATTAACCGTACGAATGAAATAAAAATATCTGAAAGTTGTTGGAAACCAGAAAATGAAATCTTAATGTGAGGATGTTAACAGACGTTAACACTACTTAATTTAGAAATGTTCGTACTTAAAGAAAATGATTTATTAATGTGATTTGTGATTTGTCTTCTCACACTCATTTACTATTGTGCAAAAAATTGATTTTAAAAATGTAATTGGACATAAATATAACAGTAAAAAAGTACAAAATTAACCTAACAAAGTTTAAAATGAGACGTTAGGTATTGCGAGAAGGGTTGGGGCGATAAAGCGGCGAAAGTCTTTATTGGTGTCATAAGGGGTGTTCAAGATGCTCTTTGGTACGAGCTCATCATCCAAACCACCTACTGAAGAATCCCAAACTAACGAGTAGATGCTACATTTCTAGCGGGCAGAAAGTCTACAAAGGACTTAGCCATCTGAGAGGATCTAACTTGCACAAGAACTCTATACCTATGAAGACCCCCTCCTCTTTTACCTTTCATAGTTGACGACTGTATGCGGGCACTTAAAGTTCTAAAAAGCGAGAAAAATATTATATTAAACTATGTGCTTTTTTGATAGCACGTAATATTTAACGCACAGGTATTTTCAGAAATTTGTATTCGGTGTAATAGGTCTTCATCAAAAACCCTCAATCTACCAATGTGAATATGTACGGATAATTGCCATTCTCACTTTTAAACTTAGACGAGAGAGGTCTTTTACCAAGTTATTGCGTTTCAGGGGCAGATGATCACAGAGGTGATTAACTTTTTCCTTCCAATGGAGAATGGGAGATTAATAGAGGTGAATCATTTTAGGATGATGACAAGGTGGAATATGTGCTCGAATGAGAAGCCATCCACCTGGTGAACACACCCATGCTTTTCATTTGGTTTGTCTCTTGAACCTCCTATTTCCACGCAACGGCACGCGTATTTCCACGCATGTCTTCTGACGTTCACTACGCTGGCCTAATAATACTAACAGTGAACGCAACACGGCAATTGAATGTAGGCTAGCGCCACCCGCGCCGTGGGTGTTACAGCGTGGCCCAGCATTTGCTCGAGTGCGGCCCACAGCTTCCGGCGCACGGACAGCCTCGCCGACGACGCCTCGCCGCAGTCTCCTTAACACACTTGGAGGCGCGGCACTCCCACGGCCAAAACCCTACACGCCGCCTCCGCCGCCGCTTCGGATGCGCTTAACGAGCCCCGCAATCGATTAGCATGCGCCGCAGGAGCAATTCAATTACGCGGGAGGGTGGGGGGTGGGGGGCTAATTAATTTAAAGAAGCCGCGGAGCGCTTGCCCGCCGCGCGACTTGGGGCTGTTCGCTCGCGCGGAGTCAAGTGCCCGACCTCGGATGACGCATGCGTGACACGTCGCTGCGTGCTCCTTTGCTTCTGTGGGGCCTTGCCTCCGCGGCAATTGGACGCACGGCTTCGCCTGACGCACGGCCTAGGGAGCTTGGGACACTGCGTGCAGTTGGGATTGGAGGATTGTTTCAAATAATGCTTCAAAAGCACATACTTATTTGCCACGGACACGCAATATTATAATACTAAATGAACCTGCAAAGGTGTTACCATCCCCTCAAAAATGTCTTTTTTGCTGCGATTCAAACACAGATCCTTAGAGTTGGCGTGGCATTTATATTAACCCTACATATCCAGCAGCTCTGTTAATCTCAACCTTCCCGACGCTTCCCGATGATAAAACAGCAAATAATTTCTCTCGTTATTCATGACTTTCAAAATTTTATAAAACTTAGAGTTCAACAAAAATGAGACTTGTAGTCACGTCCGCAAACTTTCAGCGGTTTAAACAAAAAGAAATTGAATAGCATTTCGCATCAAATTGGTTGGCAAAAACCCCTTCGTTTTCAACTATTTCCCCCCGTCTCTGCAATTTTTTAGCTTGAAACATGCAATAGAATCTGAGGAAAAAATAAAATATGAAAAATGCGTTTCTCGTATCTCTGCAACAGATAGCTCTTTTCGAATCTACGACATTTACTACTCTCTTTCACATGAGCATTGTGATTATCGATTTGGTTTGGCGGCACTTTTGACCTGCCTTATCCGGGTATACCCTTTGGATTTTTCGGAAATATGAATGGTCCTCTGATCAGTACTTTCATATACACAGACATAGACTACCAATTCAACTTTCAAAATCTTCGGTTTTTCCTTATGACCACTTCTATACTCACTTTTGACCGTGGCTTAGATGAGGTCGTAGTGTGAACATGATGAGGTGAAAGGTCAAGGATGATATGATGTTCAGTGAATGGAAGGAGAAGCGAAAGAAACCAAAACCATGTGGTGAGTAATAAATTCACGGCTATCCGGGAGACGCCGCGTCGTTAGCTGGGAGGCCGACGTTTCGCCTGACATGTCGCAGGCTTCCTCAGGACAGTGACTGAGAACTTCCCAGCCAACGACGCGGCGTCTCCCGGATAGCCGTGAATTTATGGATTCGAGCCGCGGAAGCTTACGTGTACATGTGGTGAGTAACCCGACACCATACGATGGACCCAAATGTCATTTCAAACCCCCTACCCTATCAAGGACGACAGTTTTTCAAATCAAAAGTATTGACAAAAGAAAAGGAGACAAGGGGAGAAAAATGGCCCAGAGCAGTACTCACCCTGGCAGATGCGCTCGACGGCGGGGACGAAGTAGCGGTCGCAGACGACGGCGAGCGCCACGAAGAGGTAGAGCGAGACGAGCACGTGCAGCACCACGGCGCCGTCGCGCCGCTGCTGCTCCGACAGCAGGTCGTGCGGGAAGTCGTCGATGGCCGGCGGCGTGCAGTTGGGCGGCTCGCCTGCGCACACGCCCCGCCGCCGCATTGGACCCTTGCGCACGGGGCCTCTGACGCCTTTTAGCCCACGGTCCCTCGCGCACAGTCTTTTACATCTTTTCGCCAATGAGACCTTGGTCCCTCGCACAGAGGATCGCTTACACCTTTTAACCCACGAGTCTTTGGTCCCTCGTGCACAGAGCCTTTTACACCTTTTAGCCCACGAGTCCTTGGTCCCTCGCGCACAGGGACTCCCACGTTATTAACCTTCCGTATGGTTGGAAATCCCAGCCTTTACACTCATAAATTGTTGGTCCCCCGAGCCCTTGGACCCTTGCGCATAGGACCTCTAACGCCTTTTAACCCTCAAAGCGTTGGTCCACCGAGTCCTTGGTCCCTCACACTTAGGGCCTCTGACGCCTTTTAACCCCCGAACTGTTGGTCCCACACATTATAACACCGGAGTTCGTGGATCCCAACGAAAAGGACTGTTTCGCTTTTTCACCCGCAAATCGTTGTACCCCATGCCCTTGGATCCTCGCGCCCAAGGGCACTTGCACACAGGGTCTCTGCGCCTATTAACTCTCGAGCCTGTGTACTCTCACGCCTAGGACCTGCCTCGCCTTTTAACTCCGAACAGTATGACCCACGCTCTTGGACCGTCAGGCTCTGAAAAGCTCAAGTCTTTGGTCCCCCGCCCTTTTGAACCCATAATTCTTCGTCCCTGGTTCCTTAAACCCTGATCCCTTGGGATCTCAAACCCCTTTTAACCTTAACCCTTGGTTACCCGACACCTTAAACCCCTAGCCGTCAAATCATCAGCCATTTGATCCTAACGACTGTTCATCCATGAGGCAGTACCTTCACATATCGAGCCGGATGAATTGGCATGCTGTCTATTAAAGTCACGTAAAGTGATTTCGGAACTTGAGTTCTCGGATTCACGCCAGCATGCTAGGAGTGTATTTTCTATATATCGAAAACCCTTAATGTGCTAGAACCCTGGTTGGTTCATCAGCAAAATTAAACATCTTCGATAATGTCTCATCCTAACCAAAATTCACCTTTGACCGAAAAGGCAGCTTGTATATTTCTAATTCAGACCGCTCTCGGGGGGAAAGAACTTCAATTCTCGTAACCACCTCCTAGCACATTTGCTTTGTTACAATATTTTTTTCTTTTATTTACAGTTTTATACATAAAAATATTGCTGAGTTCATTTTCGATAACTCGACTTCATTGTTACCTCCATTGGCGTATTTTTTCTCATCCAGATATGCAATTTGTCGAGCACGCTTCTTTGTAATTTTAGTTCCTCCCTTATTTCGTTTGTTTTATTGCGTGCTAGTTTGTTCTATTGCTTCGAAATCTATATCTTAAGTTACCGTACGTTCTTTGAGGACGACGACAGTTCAATGATACTGTAATAATGATCTGCAATGAGAACGAAAAAGTGAGGATGGGGGAATTCTTTGCCCAAACTAAGATATTTTGGTCTTACCGCATTTCCATACTAATACATCCTTTCATTTCTTTATGGGAGCTAGGCAACTCATTTTGCTTGAACGCCAAAACGGCTGTCCAGTATCAGTGAGCCTCACCAGCATTAGACGTAGCAGATTGGCATTAAGTGGTCAAGTTGTCAACCTATAAAATGTATTTGTTATTTACGTATCAAGGAGTTTTAAGAAGAGATTTCTTCTCGAGAGGGAAAGTTGAATTACGGACGTCGTAGCACAAATTACGCAATTCTTTCTAGTGAATAAATCTATTAAATGCCGTGTAGATACAAAACTATATTTCTTAAAATATGTAATTTTATATGCAGTTTTAAACCTTCTCAAGTCCCATTCACTAGCAACTATGACTATTGATAATTAATGAGAATTGAGGAATGTCGATAGCAGTGATAAAGATAAGGCGAAGCAGTGAGAACGGATAGTTTGTTTAGGCAAAGAATTCGCCCAACCTTACTTTTTCGTTCCCATTGCAGTTCTATTTTACCACCATCATTGTTACAGTATCATTGAGCTGTATACACTGCCCTTCCTCCTTTGTAATTAGCTATTCTGACTTCGGTGACTCTATACATACAAAAATAAAAGCTCACTTTGTTTACTATGTGCTGTTATTTTAATCTTTCCGGAACTAAACTCATCGCCTAGAAATTTATGCATTACTTAGGGATGAGATAAATCGCCTGGCAGATGTGCCAGCCTTACAGTACAATGTAAACATTTGATTATTAATAAGCGTAAAAACACTTCAATAGAAAGTATAAAAAAAGAATTCGACACTGAAAATCGGTATTCTTACTTTTTTTTTTTTTTGCACGTATGCAAAAATGAAATTTGCCTCCCTTTATTGTTTATTTATTTATGTTGGTTATTGTTTTTAATCAGTAATGCCAAACTTTTGAGATTATACATATTAGTTGTAATTTAGCTCCGGTAACAATGCTAATGTTGTCGGTGGACATTCATACCGCACATAAGATTTCCTACAAAATTCATATTCCTCGATCGATCTGGCCGGACTCGGGATCCTAAGAATTCGAAACGGATATTTTGATTATTGGTGGTACTTTTCATGGATCATCACTGACATTTTCAACATGTTTCTCAAAAGTGGCTTCAAATTTTAATCATATTTTTTTCTGTAATGGAACAAGTACTCTAGCAAAAATAACACAACGTCCGGTTTTCATTGAACTCTCTTAAATTTTCAGAAATTGCAAGATTTTTCGGCGGATTTTTACAACTTTGAAAAAGATTTGTTTATATTGAAAGCAGTTTTTCAAAATTATATCTTTAAATGAAGTCATGTACAATTAAATGAAGTCATGTAAAAATAAAGTTCAAAATATGAGTAGGTTTCAAGTAATTTTTAGTAAAATATTTTTGCGGATTGAAGTAGTATAAAAATATTACGTAGTTGATACAAATAATGCGAGTAAGTTCGGCTGTTGTAGAACTACTATTTATTGAGTGATTTCACGTGATTTCTCATAGACTGCTAAAAACTCAAGGACGATGAAAAATAAAGTTCTACGTTCTTGTATTTCGTATTTCTCCAATCCTCCTCCTCCTTATTCTGCTGCTGCTTCTTCTCCTTCTATAGATTTTCGTCTCTCTCTTCCTCTTTCTCTCGCATCATTCTTCTTGGTCTGTCTTACTGGCTTGCACTGTACTGATTATCTATACCTTCTTCACTTCTGAGTCAGATATAATGCGGCGTCGCGTGTTGCTGATCTAATCGTCTGCCTACTTCACACCCCGCACGCTGTAGGCATCCCGTCAATTTACTCGTAGCTATCCATCACCTTCCGCACTGTTTGGGCCGGTAGATAAGATAAATAGTTGTTTCCTCGCCGCCGCACTTCAACGAGAGAGAGTCGGATAATGCGTTATCTTCTCCGCAAGTAAATTAGATTGAGTGAACCATCATGGAATATGAACTTTTATAAATGAATAGATTTGTGTATTATTCAATCATTCTATTGTAATATAATTGAAAATTGTAACAGGCAGCTGCATACATGCATGTGTCACACTACAGAGTAGTGCACTATTGAGAATTAATGATTATCAAGTGACAATGTGAATTGATATTCGTAGGTCATTTCTAGATGACACAACTCAAATTATTTATCATCTTTGCACACTTAATTTTCCTATGCATACTTCCCCTTCTTCATTCGTTTATTTTACAGTCATCGTGCCAAGAACCAATCAATATATTATGAATGGTATTAAAGAAAACATTACGAAGTGTGGGTATTTCAATTAAAATAAGACGTGTAAAGAGTAAAAGAAACCCTTGGGAACATGTCAAAATACTGTTTCACACTTTGACACCAGATCCATTCACTTGCTGAATTGCTAAAAATGTGAAACGTGTATAATTAGTAAAAATCTTTATGTTCAATAGTTCTTGAAAATTAAGAATAGTTAATCAAACATCTATTATAGTAATTAACGAAATCATAGGAACGAGGGTATAATTGCATGAGATGTTCAAGAAAACGACGATAGAAGCGAGCTTTCTTATTTACCACGAGTGCAATTACACCCCTTTATCCACCCGGTACGTGCAATGTTTTTTCGTTTCCGTTTAAGAATAATGTTCATTTTGAGTAAATCAAGCACATCTTCTCCACTCGAGGCATCTATTTGATGACGACACATCGGTTCAATTGTAAGCTAGACCTTAGGCGATCATGTTCATATTTATAGTACAATAAGGTTTATTAGAAACTGTTTCCCTACTCACACCCAAGTACATATTCTAGTACTCGTATCTATGCAATATAAATCAACTTATGGGTTAGGATGATTGATGCCAAGTTGGAGTAAATTAACAGTTTCTAATATAAGTTATTGAAGTAAACAAATTAACATGATTGGCTAAGGTAATAATTATTCGTTTCTAATTTTGTTTTATTCGTTCATTGATTGTTTTTGATGTATGCATTCTGTAATGTACATATTTGTTCGTGTTTCTTGACAACATTTGTGTTATAGAGACATAATTAAACGATTTTGATCATTTTTCTGAGTTCTGATTGGAAGTTGTGGAGTGTTATTGCACGCATGCAATAAATATAGTGAAACATAATCAACGGTTTTTTATAGAATTAATTAGTAGATTTAATTAACCTAACGTAAAACTAACAAACATATTGAAATAATTGATCACTACAGTAGCTTTGTATTCGATCATCGATTCTGTCGACCAGTGAAGCCAAACTGGCTCATGTGCCAGCCGATAATGCTCTGCCCTGTAGAAAACAAACGTTTGCATAGCTCATAGTTTATTTAACAGCGATGTTACTTGTTTTCATAGTTTACTAGCGAACCGTAACAGCGAAATAAATATTTCCTAGTAGCTATCACGGTCAAGGCTTTTATCTATGACCATTTAATAATTTTCCAATTTGGTTTACACAGCTGACCAGTCACCTTCCTAGAAGTTTCGAAATTCATAGGGCAAATTGTATTCGCTTTGCAATAAGCAACTCTTTTGAACTACTGTAAACAAATGCAAAGTTTCGCAATTGTATGTGCACATTGAACGTTTTTCAAATAATAAACTGTTTATTCACAATTGACTGCTTACATGAACACTCGGGAAATCATCTATGAATAAAATTAACTTGAGTGAAGAGTTGTCTTGTGACAGCACTTCTCAGATACAAATTGAATTATTTAAGTTAGTCCATTGATTACATGATATATGCAATTTTGTATCTATGACTGAGGTCTACGGGGTGGTGTCTTTTAAATTTTCTAATGTCTTTACTGTTGTCCAGGTTGTTCACTGCAATATCATTTCGATGGTTTTCAAGTATGTTCTTATATATGTTGAAATCTGCAAATCAAAATGTAGTGAATTATTAGATACATACTATGGTGCATTAGTTATATATCGTAGAACGTTTGACTGAAATCTTTGTAGAATTTCAATTTTACAATGACTGGCTGTTCCAGGAGTTGCAATTAGTAAGTCCAAACTGATTTTAATATCGCCTTGTAAACTGGTAATTTATTACAGAGAGCGAGAGAGAGCGAGAGATAGCGAGAGAGAGCGAGAGAGAGCGAGAGAGAGCGAGAGAGAGCGAGAGAGAGCGAGAGGGAGCGAGAGGGAGCGAGAGGGAGCGAGAGGGAGCGAGAGAGAGAAAGAGAGAGATGATTTTCTGCCGATCATTCAAAGTTTTTCTAAGTTTTAGGTCCAACTCCTTTCGTTTTTTAAGATATGAACTCTCCAGGTTAGTCTTCGTTCGAGGTGCAGGCCAAGATATTTAACTATTTCAGTTTGTGGTAACTTTCGTTCATTGTTTCGGGTGGAACAAGTATTGTTTCTTATTGTGAAAGTTATGTGTGCAGACTTGATTTCATTTAGTGAAATTTGCCATTTTTAAACCACGCGGAAATTTCATTAAGATGAGTTTTTAGGATGTTAGATGCTTCTATAGGATCATTGTTCGCAACTAGTACTACTGTGTCGTCTGCGTACGTTGCAGTTGTGATGCCGTCATGTTGTGGTAAGTCAGCGGTAAATAGTAAATACAGGATAGGGCCCAGCAGACTCTCTTGGGGCACATCGGATTCTATTAGGTGAAATGAGGATATTTCATTATGAAACATTACTTGAAAGAGTCTGTTTGTAAGACAGGAGCTGAGAATTATGTACCTTTGATGAGGTAGACATCTTTTTATTTTGTAAAGAAGTCCCAAATGCCATACTTTATCGAAGGATTGACTATGTCAAAGAAAGAAGATGATCAGCATTTATTTTGTTCGAGAGTTTTATTAATTACGTCTATTACTTGATGTATTTGTTCTGTGGTTTAATATTTCTTTCGAAATCCGAATTGATAAGGCGGAATCAATTCGAGTCCCTCCAGAATTAGGTTTAATATCTTCAATAGCAATTTTTCTAGGACTTTCAATGAAAGGCGGAGTAGGCTAATAGGTCTGTATGAGTCAGATTCATGAGTTGATGAGCCTGGTTTATGAATCATTATAATTTGAGATACTTTCCATTGTGATGGAAAGTGTCCTAATCTGAAGGCAGCATTGAAAATAGAGGTTAGCAGTACAATTGCTTTTTTGGCAGATTCTTCAAAACATCGCCAGTAATGAGATCATAATCAGGGGTTTTCTTGATTGGGAGCACACACAGGATTTCTTGTACTTCTGTTGCTGTGGTAAACTTAATAGGTCGAGATAATTGGAGTGGCGTTTCCATTAAATCTGTGATTACTTTGGTGCGATTTTTATTTTCAGCGAGATTAGTCTTAAACACATTTTCTAGATGAACTGCGAATGTTTCAGCTTTCTCTTTGTCTGATTTTGCCCACTGACCGTTTGACTTGCATATTGGTGGAATTGGTTGGGTTGATTTCCTCAGTCTCTGACATGCTTTCCACAAAGTGCCGTCTGTTTATGCGGTTGGATAGAGATTGTTTAAGT